CTCTATAACACATGGGGTCGTCATGATGTGGATAAGGTTACTGGAAACTGGGATTGTGTTTATTGTCTCTTGGAGGCTTTGCTTAGCTGGTGAGTTGAAGTGGACTCTGTGGTGGATGCTGTAGTGGCCCATCTGGATCCCATTTATGGAGAGGGACACCCATCCTCTGGGGGATTCAGAGATGGCTCCTCCCTAGAGGGTTCCCATTGGCCAGTGAGAGAGATCCCTGACAGCCATGACTCCGGACAGACCCTGTGGTGCTGGTCACACTCCACAGCTCCCCGTGAGATCAGGCTGAGGCTGGGTAACTCCTGAATGCTTCTTTGTTCAGCTGCTTTCCCCATGCTTCTTAGGTTTCTCCTGAGAGCTCCTCCTCCATAAATCCTGTGCACAGGACCCCCGATCTCAGGCTGTGCTTCCAGGGAGCCCCAGCCAGGACACCCACCCAGCATCCCGGGAGTCACAGCGGCTGTCTTCCCTGCCTCTGTTTACAAAGGACCTACCAGCAAAGGAGGTCACTATGCTGCTACTGTTTTAAAACATTGTTGTTCTTGTTGGTAGTTGTCGTTGAGTCAGTTCTGACTCATGGCAGCCCCATATATGCAGAGTAGAACTGCTTCATGAGGTTTTCAAGGCTGCGACCTTTCAAAAGCAGGTCGCCAGGCCTTACTTCAGAGGTGCCCTTGGGTGGATTTGAATAGCCAACGTTTTGGTTAGTAGCTCAGCACCTTGCGCCACCCAGGAACTCCCCTTCGAAACTGTGTAATTTTAAAATCTCTTTTGCATCCTCTAACCTCACCACCTAAGTGCTGGGAAAAAAAAAAAAAGTTGCCTTTGAGTCAACCCCGACTCATGGCAACCTATGTGTGTCAGAGTAGAACTGCTCCACAGGGTTTTCAAGGTTGTGACCTTTTGTAAGCAGATCGACAGGCCTTTCTTCTGAAGCACCTCTGGGTGGGTTTGAACTGCCAACCTTTTGGCTAATAATCAAGCGCTTAACAGTTTACACCACCCTGGGGGCCGGTAATGCTGAAAAGCACCTTTGAAAATCAGTAACTTAAAAACAGAAGTTAGATGTCACAAAATGCTCCATTTAAGGCCAGACTGAACCCGCTGCTGTCGAGTCAATTCTGACTCATGGCAAGCCCATGTGTGTCAGAGTAGAACCGAACTCCATAGGGTTTTT